AATGGTTTAATGGCTCCATAAAAGGCACTCTGTGCTGATAGCTGAGATTAGTCCCTTTAGTAATGGATTTTTGTGTGTTGGGGGAAGGGGAGGGCTTGGCGGAGGTAAATGTACTGGAAAAGAATCTTGGAGATGCTCTGATGTATCTGAAGTGCCTGCTGCATTTCTGTGTGTATTGGGAGGTAGATTTTTATAAAGTGTGACAGTGTTGGCTTTATCAGTACAGGGGCCTTCTCTTCTTGCATTTGAAATTTTACAAAGTATTACCTTGGGTCACTTCAATCAGCCTGGCACCTGGAGTTGTAGTGATATTAACTTAAATATTTTTACATATTCTGTCTTTTCGTCTGGCTGTTAAGGAAATCAAATCCCCTCTATTCAAATATGTTCTAAAAAATCTCTCAACTTACATTGCGTGTTAACAGTTTCACCTCATTTCACCTTTGATCATAAAAATGAATGAGTTTATTTACTAAATCAGGTTTAGAGGGTGATTTGAGAGCATAAATGTGAAAAGCAGTTCAGAAATATGGAGCAGAAATGTTTAGGGCATAACTTACCGTGACTTCTGGTTACTTTCTTTTCTCTGCAAGTACACAAAGTCTTTTAACTTAAAACACACAAATATAGTATTACTTAGGGGACATTGGAGCTCACTCGCACAAGCAAGGTTGCTGCTGTCAGTTGATTTTATACCATATGGTAAACGCTCTTGCCCTACGAGTGTTCATAGTAAGACAGACATCTTTGTCTCTTTGGTCAGTGGAATCAAGATTGCCTGCAGTTAGCCAACACCATTGAATTACCAGTAATATTTAAAAAGATGTTTAAATCAATTCTTCTTCTTCAGAAAATAAAACAAGATTTTATTTTGTGTTCTGGGCAGGAATCTGAAGTTTGAAAATTATAAAAGGAGAAATGACTTGCAATTTCACATAAAATATTCCTCATTTATTCTTCATCTTGAATAATCATATCTTGAATTGAATAATAACTTAATTGCTTTTATATTTGATGCAGTGCATTTCTGGGGCTTTCTCAAAAGAAGTGATTCGGTTCTATCTGTACAGAGGTGGTACATTTCCTGTTTCTCAGGTCAGGAAGTATACAAATCAGTCTCCTCTAAGGCAAACCAATTCCTCCTTTAATTTCAGAGTTACTAATAAAATTATTCTTCGTTTGAGTCTTAAACTGGTGTTATTATGAACAAAATGTTGGAGATTAGGCTGTTGACACATAGCAAAGGAGAACAGCACTTCAAAATGAGGGGTAGCAGGCTTCACCCTGTGGTTTTTGTGTGTTCTGTGCAAGTTTACTTCGTAGTGAAATTATTACTGTTTTGTATAAAATCTAGGTCTGTACAACAACACATTATGTATAACATGCCAGCCCTCTTACTCTGCAGATAGAGATACATTTATGCACAGAGAATATGCATACAGTAACATGTTATACCTTAGCCAATGTGCTACAGGTGGTAGCAGTCCTGCTTGCCTTATATCTGCATGTTGGCTTCGGAGGAGCTCCAGACAGGGTCTGCAGATTGAGTCCATTCTGATACTGATAAGCCTGACTTTCCCCAGTAGTTGAGATGAGGTGTTGAAGCCATCCATCTAAATATACGTTGTAAGATTGTTTGCCTTTCAAGTTTGGAGGTAGTTATCTGTAAAAAATCACTGAGGATGAAATCTTGGCCCTTGGTCACTTCTTAATAAGATCGTTATTAAGGCAGAGTGCCCGTTACTTTAATAGGGTTGAGACTCTGTTCTGGGGTTAAGTAAAATGAATTTGCCATCAGGAAGAAAGAAGTGGTGAGGAGCTGGTTGTTTGAAATGTCATTCTGTTAATTTGGATGTGTTGGTGGCTTGGTATGCTGCACTAAAATTAGATTGTATAAATAAGCAGCCTTGTTCTCAAGAGAAAACGGATTGAAAACATGATATAAAATCCAGTTTAGCAAAATGATGTATGTTTAAAATCTGTTTTAATAGGTGCACTATAAAATGAGTGTCACACTGAAATGAAGAATGACAGGTGGAGGGTTTCAGTGATGATACAAGAACTGTTTTGAATGTTTGAAATTTTATTGTTGGAATAAGTCTGTCATCTTCAGCCGCGCTTAAGATGTGATTTCAAAGGTCAAGTAGCCTTCAAGAAAGCCCCCCAAAAATGCAGTTAGTATTTTTCTCAGTCTATCTTTTTTCCTTTCTACCTCTAAAAGTGTGCAGTTAAGGAGTTACAGATAAAGCTTAGCATGGTGACTGTGTCAAGGGACTGCCTGAGGAAGGCTTTGAATTTTACAGCTACATTATCTTTCTGGTCATAGTTAAGATAAAGATCTAATATAAAATCACTTTGGACTGTAATGCTTTCCCTAAATGAAATGAAGGCGTTAACCTACTTGATTTGATACACTTTACCCTGGCTTACAAAGCTGGGAGGAAGGTGAGGTAAACTTTAATTAAAACTACAGCACAGATGCCTTCTAGCACTGTGCCCTGTACCTTCCTAGGACTGTACAGTAAGCAAAATAAAATGTACCTCGCAGCCGAGGCAGCAGGCTGGAGCCGTGTTCAGTGAAAGTAATTTAATTAGTGTTGATCATGACTCCAGATGATGGTGATTTGATAAGGAATAATTTAGTACTTAACAGCCTTTTACATGCACCAACTCCATGTGGGAAGGTAAAGCAAATTGCACAAAATGAATGTGCTGCTTTCACTTGTGCCTGTGCCAGTGAGCTGGAAAACTGCCTGTTAGCAGACGTTCAGGCTCTCAGCACTGTGATGAAATACCCAGCCAGTTCTCCGCACAGGGCTGTGGTGTGGGAGTCTCTGTACTCCCGTTATTTAAAAATAAATAAGGGAAGTAATTTTTCATAACAGATTAACTCTGAGGAAGTAGCAAAGTTAAAATAAAAAAATAAAAAAAATAGAGCAGCATGTGGCCTTTGTGTGAATATGTGATACTGGCTTTAAAAAAGAGTCTTGTTGCAGTTGCGTTTTAATTCTGTGATTCAAGTCAGAGATTGCCTACCTTTGCATCAGAGCCACCATCATGGAGTTGTGGGCCCCATCATATGCATTAAATGTGCAGCGTGCATTATCTGACCAAGACATGCACAGAGACTCAGCAGTAGAAGTTCACTAGCAAAAACCCAAAGCAAGCTACTGGATGTCAGCCTGCTTTGCTATTACAGTGGAAAGCTGACTGGGCTGCATTTTACCGTATTGTTAAATTTGAGAATCTTTATTCAAGAAGTGCATATGTGGTTTTTTTTTTATTTTAGTGCAAGTCCAGATACTTTTATTCAGGAAGAGTTCTTTCCTTGTTGTGACCTTCACCGCTTTTTTCATCTCTGTTTCTTAAGTTACTGTGCTATGCGTATGTATTTGTGTACCTGTTTTACTGTCTGCTTTTCCTTTGTAATCTTTCCAGATAATTGACTATTATCCACCAAATATAACAGCTGGATAGAGGTTTGTGAGTTTTGTGAAAGTATGTGGCAAAATAACATTTTATGTTAGTAATAACATAGTATCTTGCAGATATCTCAGCTGAAAGGCAATAGTAGAAGCTGTCACATAACAGGGTACAAGAGGACCTGTTCATGAAGGAGTTCTCTGAATATTGCCCAAGTGTGGGAAAACCAATGATGAGAATATAGAATCCAGATCTTACTCACAGATACTTATAAATCCAAGTTCATTGGTTCTGATGCTCATGTCTTAGACAGCATTTCATTTACGTCACCCCCGAACACGTGTGTGTATGCAGGTGCATTAGTATCAGAAAATATATAGTGTGTAACAAGTTGTCTTTCCTGAGTTCAAGTGTTGTAAGGGAAGGGGAAAGATGCTATTTGACGGTATATAATGATGGCCTGATTTTGTGCTGAGGTTCTCTAGCAGGGGCTGCTGCACGTACGTGGATTTCCACGGAGATGCAAGTATCTGTGTCAGACTGGAGCATGATGCTCAGACTACGGTGTTTTGGTGAAAACATCAAAAATCGGTGATAAAATTGATCTCTGAACTCTAGGCTTCTCAGAGTTCAAAAATATATTTACAACCTAATTTTATTTAAAACTTGATGAGTGTGTTTTCAGGCTGTTACATACCTGTCTTTTAGTCCTTTGTCCTCCTAGCCACTTACTTCAGATTTGTCTATGTCAGGTGAACTTTGAATTTTCTTCTGCTTTAATTTTAGTTAAGGTTGGATATGAAATAAGGAAAGTTGCCTGGCTTAAACTAATATGCTGGTTAACCTTGTCTTTACCTTTGACCTTTTTCTTAATGCAGACCAACTTGTGCTTCTAATTAATGCTGCTGTATGATTTTTTTTTTCTCAATTTGTGTCTGTATCACATTTACTATTGAGTTTGGTGAGGCTAGGATTTTATCTTGTTTATTTTTGAGAAAAATTACTGAAGCCATTTCTTGTGTATTTTTTTCAGATGTTACTTATAACTAAAGGCACATGTAATCATCCCATTTCATAAGTTTCACTGCAAATTTTCATGCATTCTGTGGGACAAAAAGATTACTGGTCATATACTTGAGACTGATATATGAGAAATTTATTTTGGAGTCATTTGTGTGGCACTTTTTGAAGTGAACTACTATTGCATTTATAGCTAAAAGCTACCTCACTAATATTACTTAGAAACATGTGGTGCCTGGGAAGTATTTTGCCTCTGACAACATTTACAGTAGTTAAGCCAAATATAAGTGGGCTGTTATTTTCCTGCTAATGAGATGGGATCCTGGCCATCATTCTATTTAACAATAAAAGTGCTAATAGCCAATGTGAAGGATCTCTGGTGTCTATTTTTCAGTTGACACCTGAAGAAATACTTGAAATCTTTATTTCCTATATTGTTTTTAGTATTACAATGGTTTAATTAATCATGTGTTTAATTAGCAGTGTCTAACTTACTTGAGAAAGCTCATTGTTAATATTGTACTTGGGTTTTAATTACATTTTCTTTCTCTTTCCAGTGGCTTTTCATGGTCTCCCTGTGAAAATCAAGAAGGAACCCCATAGCCCATGTTCAGAACTTGGCTCCGCTTGCAGTCAAGAGCAACCATTCAAGTTCAGTTATGGGGAAAAGTGCCTGTACAATGTCAGGTAAAGCAATCGGGAGCATGTTTGCAGTGAGAACTGCTGATTTAAATGAGGACTGACTAAAGAGTAATAAAACCATAATAGAGATCTTAAAAAAGTTACCTCTTCAGCAGATAACAGACTGATGAGATAATGCATTTAGCTGATGAACACTGATGGAGTTTTCTACAGTTGTATCAAACACATAGCTGTTTTAGAGCAGTGTTTTTCATGAAAATGCATATTCTCCATTCCTTCTCCATGGGAGATAGCCAGAGTTTAAAAACCCAGTATGCAGCATGAAATAGAAGGAAAGAAAAAATGTTTTCTGCAAGTTGTGTTGAAAGTGCTTTCAAAATGCATTACGCACATTAGGAAGGAGAGAGAGAACCGTGTAACAGGCAAGAGATTGGCAGGTCTGAGCAACACATTAGATATTTGACAAGTTTTGCAGATGTTACATGTGTGTATTTGTGGGTGATTACAATTTAAAATAGTATTTCATTAGGCTCTGCATCTTTGTTACCTGTTCAAAAGCAAATTGTCTTCTTTTATAGGGATAGATAATAAAAGCTTTATTTATTTGTGGGTGATGGAGGGGCTTGATACCACTGCATTCTTTATTGACTTTCTTTTGGTTTGCCCTTACATGTCACTC